AAGATGAATCTGAAGAACACGCTTACATTGTGAAAGAGCGACAAGCATATGTCATGCTTTTCAATTATATCCGTAATGATTTGTTTACAAACCCACGAGTAGAATTAATGGTTAACATCACAGACAGACTAGTTGCAAATATGTTGTCCTTAGGCATTGAAAATGTAAAGCCACAAACAAAGAAACACATACGAAGAAAGATGGAAGCAGAGTTTGCCAATAGTATTGAGATTATATCTGATGACAAAGGCAAACTCATTGTTATACCAGACTCCCTCTCAAGAAATATATTGGTGAAAGAAAATTTATGACTAATAGCTGAGCTGAACCAGAGAAAGATGCAAGACAGTGATGAGGTTCTTAGGAAGCAATGTGCTCTTGCAATAAGAACTGATGTAAAGAAGTCAAAGAAAGACCAGCCATGGCCACCTCAACCAGACACCCTCAACAATGAGTATGTTTCATTGCCCAGATCAATAGTAGACTTCCTCACAGTGTTGCTAACAGGAGACATGCGATGTACTTCTTCATCAAGAGTTGAAAGATTAATTCAGTCTTTTGGCCAAGACTTGATTTATGCAATCACTATAGGTGAGCAGAAGCCAGCAAAACACATTTTGTTGCCATAGGCAGTGAAAACGCTCACAGAAAATGTTGAGTTAATCAAGATCCTAAATCGTCTTGGTCATGGTATATCCTACAGCCAACTGGAAGAGATTGACACCGCCCTTTGCGTACAGAAGTTAACTAATGAAGAAGAATCCGACATTGCAATACCATACCACATTCACCCTCGTATTCCAGTGACTCTAGCATATGATAATATCGACAGAATTGAAGAAACTCTCTCTGGTGCAGGAACATCTCATAGGGTTAATGGTATTATAGTTCAGCCACTAGTACCTTATGTGGAAGAACCAAAAAAGTATGTCTCCGCAGCGAAAATTGAAACAATGTAGCATTGTCCCTACACCAATTCAACTGCCGCTTTACAATGCTGGTAGACGTGTTGGGCCACCTTTGATGGAAACATTAGAACATGACTATGACGAGATTATGTACAGTGCTCAAGTTACGAACCAGATAAGGTCTTTGGTTAGACAGACAAATGTAAATAACCAGACCATTAGCTCATGGACAGGATTCAACATCCAGACTCGTAACACCCACAGTGTAACTGACAACACAATTGGTTATCTTCCAACTATAAATGCTCCGGCTACAGACATGTCTACTGTTTATGAAGTCCTCAAACAGGCACT